AGAGTATTTAAAATACAAAATGTAAAATAGATTCTTTTAATCCATTTTAAATATAAAATAGATAAATGGGAATTTTAAATGGTTTTCAAATGCAAAATGGTCTTACTTGGTATACATATTTTTAAGTATTTTATGTTGGAAATTACTTTGCATAATGCTGGAACATCCATTTTTTTTAATAAAAATCGATATTATGGATTTGTAATTAATATCTATTTTATATTACAGTTTAATTCACAATTTATTGGGATAATTATAAAAAATTAAAGAAAATACAAGAAGAAGGAAGTCAATAACAGTCAAAGCTGGATCATAATGCTTATTATAATTATGTGTGAATTTTGTATACTGCGTATGTAGTCCCCCCATATAAATCGCAACGCTGATAGTTTTTCAGCATTGACGCGCGCATACATACTTACTACCGCAGTAATATCACGAACTTTAATTGATTAACAATTCTTGATGCTCATAGCATCATGGATCTTAATAGTTTTGAATGACATATTAAAATCTGAAAAGGATAATTTTTAATTTTCGTATTTAAAATTCTGTAATTCTTATGTATTGCGAAAAATATTAATAATTTTGGTGTTTCGTCCAGGTTTCCACTATTGGACTCATCAGTAAGGTATTGTAGTGGAAACCTACCTTAAACTCCTGTGTAAATTATTAAATCGAGATTTTATATATAGAGATATACGCGTATCTCAGTATTTGCAAGAAATTTTTACGAATATCGATAGACTTCTGATGGGGGAGGGGATCGACGTAGTAATATTCTTCGCAATATTTATCTAAAGTAGGAATAACGTCTTTTTCAGGATCGACGTGTATTAACAAATATTAAAATCTCTTTAAGACTGTATAATGATAAATAATATTTATATGGGAGTACTACATACGCAGTATACAAAATTCACACATAATTATAATAAGCATTGTGATCCAGCTTTGACTGTTATTAACTTCCTTCTTCTTATTGTTGTTTATCATTATACAGTCCTAAAAAGATTTTAATATTTGTTTAAAAAAATACATTTTACAGTAATACAGTTTTATTTAATTTAATAAACGCACTATTTGCTTTGAGTAACAATTGTTTTTTAAATGTATCAGACAACATCGTCATAGAAGAAATTGTGTTCTCACCAACCACGATACTTGATTCTTCTTAAGGGAAAATTTATGAATACATAAAAAAACCATTTACCTATTTTATAAATGGTTAAATGATAGACATGATTCCATTTCAAATGTAAAATGGAAATGGTTTTCTAAAAAACTATTTAAAATGGAAAATGCAAAATGCCATTTCCATTTTAAATATGTATTTAAAATGGAACTATTTTAAATATTACCCAGCCCTGGGAATTGGAATCGCTTTCCAGACAACAAAATCTTAACAAAAATAGCCCGATCTTACGATTAAATCCGTTTATCGGTGCAGCAAGAATTCTGAGAGTAGGAGGTCGACTCAAATTATCACATCTCCCGTACAATGCCAAATATCCAACTTTATTGCCTGGAAATCATCCGTTTTCTCGTCTCATCATCATACACGAGCACGAAAAACACTTTCATGCAGGGCCCCACGCCACGTTATCTGCTGTTCGACAATTATTGGCTCATAGCTGCAAGGGACGTTGTACGACAAATTACTCGCAAATGCATTGTTTGCTCTCGAAGCTCACCTAAGATGGCATCCACGCTAATGGGGAACCTTCCCCGAATCCAGGATCACAATCCCCGAGCGTCCTTTCGAAAATTGCGGAGTCGATTACGCGGGTCCTCTCTACTATAAAGAAGGCTTAAGAAAAACTTCTAAGCTATTAAAATGTTATATTGCAATATTTGTTTGCTTCGCCTCAACAGCTGTTCACATTGAACTAGCAACTGATTTATCCACTAAAGCATTTCTTAATGTTTTAAAGCGTTTTATTTCTAGACGAGGATGCCCAACTATCATTCATTCGGATAATGGCTTAAATTTCAAAGGAGCTCAAAGAGAATTAAACGAGCTAGCCGCATTGTTCAAAAATCAAGAAAGCCATCAACAGATTATTAACTACGTGTCCTCTAAAGGAATCAGATGGCGCTTCATACCCCCTAGAGCGCCCCATCATGGTGGACTATGGGAAGCTGCCGTCAAGGGAGCCAAACGTCATCTCTATCGAGTTACTAGAGAGGCGCATCTAAGATACGAGGAGCTAGAAACACTAGTTATCCAAATTGAAGCGATTCTTAATTCGCGTCCTCTCACACCCGTTTCATCTGACGTAGCTGACCTTACGCCACTTACTCCAGGTCACTTCTTAATCGGAGCACCATTGACATCGTACCCTGAACCATCATTGGAAAGGATCCCGATTACTAGGCTCTCTCGTTGGCAACGGGTGGAGCAAATACGTCAACACTTTTGGCAAAGATGGTCAAAGGAATATCTGCATTATTGCCAGCAGCGAAATAAGTGGACAACTAAGGAAAATCCATTACATGTCGGACAGATGGTCCTTCTAAGAGAGGATTCTGCTTCGCCTCTTTCTTGGCCTCTCGCTAGAATCGTCGAATTGCATCCCGGTAATGACAACATTGTTCGTACAGTCACAATTCGCACATCGTCTGGCATTTATAAGCGTCCCATTACACGATTATGCGTTCTTCCCTTTGATAGTAATTAAGCTCGTATCATTTCATTAATCTATG